CTGTTATTTAATGTCCATCTCCTGTCATCCCACCGTCAAGAATCACTAAGAGAGGCTCTTAGGTCCCACCAGTCTTTCCTGAGTTGCTGATACCTGTCAGGAACATGATACACCAGGAACGAAATGTAACGGTGGGACCATGTGCATCCTTTCGGGGGTAGAAAGAAATGGACTCTGGCAGCTAAAAGGTCAGGCTTAGGAGCCAGCGTTAGAGATGGCTGGACCTGGAAGGAAGCTGAAATCATTCATTTAATGTGCTTAGCACACAGAGATAGCTGCGTATACATCATTGCTATTGGAGGAGAAGGAAGACTCTCATTTACAGCCAGCTCCCACGTATCCTCATTGCATTATTTCATGTACATCCCTGCCCGTCATTATTTCTTCTCCCCGACAAGCTATGCAACTGCCCACGTCTGTTATCTGGCCGTTAAAACTACATTCGCACTGTCCTCTTCCCCATTTCTCCCAGTGACAAAGGTCACAACCTTTTGATTTCTTTATTTTTAATTCCAGGTGGCTTTAATGTAATTGTAATTGTAGGTGAATTTGTGTCACCTCGGAGCAGCGGGTAGCAGCTTGGCATTAACAGTATGGCCTCAGGGCCATAGGAACCCCGGGTTCAAATCCAGGCTCCATCGCTATGAACTTGGGGGCATCCATTTCACTGCCCCGAGCTTCAGTTTCCTCGCGTGGAAAGTGGAGATGTTAGTAGCAGTACCTACCTCGCAGATACGCACAGCACAGAGCCTGGCATGCAGTAAGGGCTCCGTCGCTGCTGCCTGCTGCTATCCCCTTTCCTCTTTTCTCCCTCTGAAACAAGAACGTGCTAGCCTCAGAGTTTGCCTTTGTAATCACCAGCACCCAGAGGCAGGCAGCCACCCTCAAAGGAAGTCTAGTGGGACCTAAGGACAGATGCAGCCAACTCCGAACATGAAGGTCTAGGCATAGTCTTGCTTTTGCCACATACCAGCTGTGTGACTACCAGCCAATTCTTTCACCTCTCTGAGTCCCAGTTTCCTCGTATGTCAAGTGAGAATAATAATGCCCGAACTGGCTGCACCACCGAGTTTCAATGAGAGTCATGCGAGATGGTCGTCCCCGTTATCTCTGTGGTGCTTTGCTATTTGCAAAATGCCGCTGGGCTGTTCTGTCTCAATGAGTGAGAAGGTGAGGAAAGCGTGTTGCAAATAGGAGAGAAAGAAGTGAAAGAGGTGGAATAGCCCACAGACTTGTGGGCTTTCTGGATATGCAGCCTCTCAGAGGCAGCCAGGTTGACAGTGCAACTGATACGAGCTAGTTTATCAACTTGGGGTACAAGTAGGGCCAGACCTCGTCATTTCCCCAATCCATAATTCCAGGAAACACTTGCCTAATTAAAAGGAAATTCAGTGTCTCCCCATACACATCCAAATTAAGATTATTCAGAATTTACTCAATCTACAGGAATCAGACTTTTTCCAAAGGCCGGGTAGAGAAAGACCTGTTCTCAGTTCAATGGAGTGTCGTTTCTGTTGTTGCCACATGGTGTCACTGTTGAGCACTGGTCCTGCACAGCCCAGTGAAGAGGCTCAACTATGCCGGATCTCTGAGTCCAGACAGACTCCAGGAAGACTTGCTCTGTCCATACAGAGAATTGCTGGCACCTTCTGTTCAAAAAAAAAA